TACCGAGAAGATTAGGCAAATTTTCTGGTGACGTAGGTCTGCGCGCATTTTTCAATACAAAGTACACAAATTTTGGTAATTCTGCAAACAGCAGCGTACTTGATAACATCAGTTAGCTCGCCTTGGCTACTGCAATTTTCCTCACTGTATTTACAATAAGAAGAAATATGATATCAAACACCACTGCCTCTTTTCGTTTTCATTTAAACATATTAATAGCCGCAGAAATGTAGTTCAGGGAACGTACATTACAATGAAACTAAATATATCAAACCGTATTGCCTCTTTTAATTTTCATTTTTACAATAAGACGAAATATGATATCAAACACCACTGCCTCTTTTCGTTTTCATTTAAACATATTAATAGCCGCAGAAATGTAGTTCAGGGAACGTACATTACAATGAAACTAAATATATCAAACCGTATTGCCTCTTTTAATTTTCATTTTAACATATTAATAGAATAATAGAATAAAGACCAAAAATCTTGCATGTTAGATTTACCCAAAACGAATGACATCTTATGTTTAACCACTACAGAGACATCAGAGCCAGCGGCAAATGTCAGAAGGCCTAGCCAAGTTGAGGCTGCTCTCGTCGGGAAACATGAGCACTGAGCGCCCGCTGATCGCGTGGAGCTCACGACTCCGAAATCGGCAAAGCACATTTTCAAATAGGCGCTGTCTTTATAAATAAACCGCAGATTTGAGTTTTAAACAACTACATTCTCGCCTGAAATACTTTTAAAACTACATTTCATGACACAATAAACAGTGATATTTAAAAAAATGATGCGAATATGGTGGTTGAAATACAATGCTGCGTGACCTCAACCAATCATCATGCTTAGCACCCAAGTCCCGTCCCAGAAAGTTCCGGACCTTTGAAAAAGTACTACTTCGCGAGCAGGGACTTTCCGAGGGGCAAATTTTTACGCAAGTCCGGTAATTCTGCAAACAGCAGCGTACTTGATAACATCAGTCAGCTCACCTTGGCTACTGCAATTTTCCTCACTGTATTTACAATAAGAAAAAATATATCAAACACCACTGCCCCTTTTCCTTTTCATTTAAACATAATAATAGCCTCAGAAATGTTCAGGGAACGTACATGGCCTACATTACAATGAAATTAAATATTATATCAAACATTGCCTGTTTTAATTTTAATTTTAACATATTAATAGATTAATAGAATAAGGACTAAAGATTACCTGTTAAGACGAATTATATCTCATGTTTATCCACTACAGAGACATCAGAGCCAGCGGCAAATGTCAGAAGGACTAACCGAGTTGAGGCTGCTCTCGTCGGTATACATGAGCACTGAGCGCCGGCTGATCGCATGGACCTCCCATCTCCGAAATCGGCGAAGCACATTTTCAAATAGGCGCTGTTTTCATAAATAAACCGCAGATTTGAGTTTTAAACAACTACATTCTCGCCTGAAATACTTTTAAAACTACATTTCATGACACAATAAACAGTGATATTTAAAAAAATGATGCGAATATGGTGGTTGAAATACAATGCTGCGTGACCTCAACCAATCATCATGCTTAGCACCCAAGTCCCGTCCCAGAAAGTTCCGGACCTTTGAAAAAGTACTACTTCGCGAGCAGGGACTTTCCGAGGGGCAAATTTTTACTCTGAACTTTATTTAGATCCTGGTTCCTGCGGTGGAAACACACCGAGTACTGACTAGAGGTCTGCTACCCGGGTTATGGGTCGGGTTCGGGTTCATGTTTAATGGATAGCTTCGGGTTTGGGTCGGGCTCGGGTTTATAGCTAAACTAAAACCACGGAAACTTTTATTAGTAAAATAGCTTCGACAGGCTACTGACTCGCAACATTATATTTCTCTGCAATGAGGGGGGTAAAAGCGCGCTGTTTTTGAAGTAACTAAGCCTCATTGCTTGTAGAAAGAGACGCGCAGACGCAGGTTCACACGCAACTTTCATCCCTCTCTCTCGCTAATTCAAATAAATTATATAAGTAATTAATTCAAATAAATGCGATCTTACCGCACTACATCTCTGTGTCTGATTTAAAGCAGGCTGAATGCCAACGAGCCTTAACTGACGAAAATGACCATAATTTGCACGATGGAAGAATTATCGTCTTGTCGTATACAACCATTCAAAAACTCGGCAGAATTTATGTGACCGCTGCACCTGATGTTCATAAACTTTCATAACTGGTAAGTGTTTTTTCTTTTGCCTTGTGAACTGGCCGAGCCTTAATGATTCTGTTTCTTTACATGTATTTGTTTACTGACCATTGCATGCAATTGTGAAATACAGCATTTTTTTTAAATTGGCTATTCGTTGTGGTAAAAAAAAAAAAACGAAAA